TTTATTAAGTTTATTAAGTTTCACAAATAACTTTTAAATGCCTTCTTTACCGTCAACGGACACTCAAATAAATACACAATACAATGCAATGCAATGTAATACAACGCATTACAATACAAACTAAATTAGAGTATTTGTGCATAGCATTTTCCCCTTTTGTTTGAAGGATATTTTAAGAATAATTCCAGCGTTCGTACACACCTGGAAATGTCAGGGTTTTGATTTAATTTTCCAAGTGCCTGAAATGTCAGAGAATTTTAAAATAAGGTTAAAAAGGGCAAAAGAGTCCGGGAATTTTGAAACTGTAGACATGTCATGGAAATGTCAGGGAAATTTGTATCAGTGTTGAAAAAATGATGTTCCAGAACAATAAATTTTAGGACTATGACAGGATCTCAATGAAATCCAAAATGTAACATTTAGTTGATTCCACACGGGGCGTGTACATTGTCTAACATATATCTAAAAGGTTTACACTGTCTTGATTAATGAACTTCTTAGATCTAGTCGCGCTTCAGAAGTGGAAATCCTTCAATTATCAGAGGTTAATGTTTCTAAAACTGTATTGAAATAAACGTACGTCTTGTTTTCAAACCTACACCTTGCATTAATTTGTCAATTAATTTATCGAAAACAAAAATAATGAAATTTATTGGAAATGGTAGAAAATGTACAGAAATTTTTTATTTTGATGGGGATGAGATCGAGACGGTAAAATCATATAAATACTTGGGTTTGACCATAAGTAGTTCAGGTACGTTTAGTAAATCCAAGGACTATCTGTATGACCGAGGATTAAAGGCAATTTATAAAATAAAAAGGTCACTAGGCGATACAAGTTTAAAACCTTCAATAGGAATAAAGATTTTTGAACAATTGGTAGTTCCAATAATCTTATATGGATCTGAAATATGGGGCATGTCGAATTACTTTTCTACAAAAGATTTGAATGAATGGTTTACAAATGGCAGACGATTTCCATCTGAGAAACTTCTGTTATCTTTTTGTAAATATATTCTTAAAGTAAATAAAAAATCAACAAATTTAGCAATTTATGGAGAGCTTGGGAAATACCCACTATATATAAATATATTCAAACAAGCTACTAATTTCTATAATCACATGTTAAATACGTCATACATCTTATTATCAGAAGCACTTACTACATCAAATGACTTATCAAAGATCAACAAGTCATCGTGGATGCTGAATTTTAAAAGTGTAATGGATAAATTAGAGGTAGTATCATTTTCAGGAAATACTCCCAGCAATATCAATAATACTTTAGATGTAAAAGAATATACTATTGACGCATCTGAAGTTGTTTGTAAATCAAAAATTAGTTTTGAAGATTATTGGCGAAATCAATTGAATTCCGACCAATGTCGCAAACTGAATACATACAAAATATTTAAAAGCAATTTCAGGTTCGAACCATATTTAGATTCAATTTCAAATGGGCATTTACGACGAAGTCTAACAAAGTTTCGTATCAGTAACCACAAATTAAAAATAGAAACGGGTAGATACGAACGCCCAAAATTAAAGATCGATGAAAGAATTTGCGAGGTTTGCAATTTAATAGAAAACGAAAAACACATAATGCGTTCATGTAAAAAATACAGTATATATAGAAAGAAAATGCTCGATAAACTTGTATCACACGGCAACCCAATTAAACACCTTTTCAACATGGAGGACGATTCACTTTTTTTCCAATATTGTATGTCTTGTGAAAATAAAGAAATTGAAATTGTAGCAGAATTTATTCATAAATGTAATATAACATAGAAGGGTGTGATATATGACATAAACAATGGACGCGTATCACAATCACCATTCATGTGCTTATCCATGATGCATATTTATTTGTTCATTTATTTACTTATTTATTTATTATGAAGTGTTAATTTTGTGTGTTGTTATATATACTGTTTTCTGTTGATATATTGTAAAATTAGTGTTTACTTTGTGTACACTTAACCTTTTATGGGTATGAATGTGTAATAAAGTTCATAAAAAAAATCTAAAATCCTTGCTCCTTTCTGTCGTATTAATAAAGCAAAAATAACATATCACGGTGGGATACGAACCACTCGCCTGGGATTTGGTTATTCACTAACACCATAGGCGTTCACCTATTCTGGATACAACTGACGAGTTGTATCTAAGTGGAGTCAAAAGCGAAGATCATTCTAAATTGACGCTCGGTATAAATATATGATACTTTTATCATCTCACACAGGTGAACGTTAGCCTCATGGCTAGCGTGTTTAGCTTCCACTCTCTAGGTTAGTCGATCGAAACCCGTTCATGGCGAACTTTTTGATTTGCTTGCTGTCAACTTATAATAAGTAGGGCAAAATCCAGAAAAAGTAGATCATAAATACTCCAATGGAGTATAAAATTGTCACCAGGATTCCGAAATGAGACGAATGTTAACTCGTTAAATCTCGGTAGATAAAGTAGGTCAGAAAATCCGGATTAATCCGAACTGATTCGGGAATCTTCGTCATAAGAAGTAGATCAAAAATCCAGAGAAGTAGATCAAAAATACTCCAATGGAGTATAAAATTGTCACCAGGATTCCGAAATGAGCCGAATGTAAACTCGTTAAATCTCGGTAGATGAAGTAGGTCAGAAAATCCGGATTAATCCGAACAAGGTTCGGGAATCTTCGTAATAAGAAGTAGATTAAAAATACTCCCAATGGAGTATAAAATTGTCCCCAATATTCCGAAATACGACGAATCGAATCGGCAAACTTCGGTAAAATAATGAAGTGCATAAAAACCGAAATGATCCGATGAACGTTCGGATAAAATCGTGAACAGGTGTCAGGGGTTTCCCCTCATCTTTCCCCACATTGTTCTAAAAGCCTTATATGGATTTATCACGTAACATTCAAAATGACGTTCCTATATGGTTCTATGGGTTCGAACACGTGACCAAATATACCAAATAAAAATTTTACCTTGACCACTGGATGGGATTTCATAGAAAATATCCAAGAAAACCTATCCTCGTGATCCTTAAATCACTTAAATTCGATCATTTTATTTTCACCCCTTGATGGAATTTTATGAAAGAAGTCATGAAAACACATCATCATGTAAGGGTTTTCACCTAAATTAGCTCGTTTTATCTTGAGCCTTCAATTGAATTTCTTGAAGAAATATTTTATGAAAAAATATCATCATGTTATGATTTGTATTTAAATAAGACCGTTTCATCTAAATACTTGGATAATATTTCATAAAAAATGCACTTTAAAATTTTTCAGAATTTGCCTTAATTTATCAATGTAATGAAAGTATAAGATTAACTCTCAAATAGCGTTCTATTTTAACCTTTTTATTGAAATCAATACAGGACTCGCTCTCTAAATATCCAATAAAAATTCAACCCTTGGATGTGATTTCGTTGGAAAAAAAATATGTCAAGTCCAGAATCAAATGATTTGTCCAGAACCTCTTAAGATCCTGTTTACACCAGATTTTACAACATACGGTGTTATTTTCTAAATACATTTAAATGTATGTGAACCAAGTGTCTTCATCTGAACATCTTATTGTGATCACGCTACTGTAAGATGAAGAAATATCTTCTTCATCCTAGGATCATGCAGTCCATGCTCGACACATGTCAAATCCTGGAAGACAAATTTACTGGTGTAGTTATTTCTTCATGTTTATTACATAATTCATATCGGGACTGGAGTCCTTTTATAAACTGTGCATGAAGAAAAGAGGTGATAACTTCTTATGAACACGTATGTGTTTTCATTGTGGACTTACAACCAAAAAACACATGAGCAGTAAAGAAGCCATTTCGTCTGCGTTCTCCTGAACACGTATGTGTTTTCATTGTGGACTGACAACCAAAAACACCTCTGACTGTCTGAAGCCATCTTCAGATATAGATATTTTTCAAATTTCTCATATTCATCTGGAACTGAACACGTTTATGTGATGAATACAGAGACGAAAAATTGAGAGCTGTGTAAACTTGAACAGATAATGTTTTCTTATGGACTGACAACCAAAAGAAACACCTCAGTGTAAGGCAAGGTACTGCAAGGCATAAACACAGTGTCTACCTCCTTCGGGCTTCCTTACTTTCTTTTCTGGATTGAGAACCTCTCACATGTAACATAACACAGAAAAGAACATGTACTATTTCGTTCTCTGTACATGATGTCTTCTGATGGTCTAATGACCCCAGAGAAATTGTCATTTAATATGACAAATTGTCTGGAAAAAAAGGTCAATTGACACTAGAGACCTTTTCCATATGCTTACTATAATCTCATATCGGGACTGAAGACCCTATATGGAGCAAGCAAAGATAAAACGAACGAGGTAAGATCTTCGACATTTTATAGATCAGATGTTTTCTTTGTGGACTAACAACCCAAAGAAAAAACCTTGAAAACTTGTCTTATAGTTCCATATGATCTATTTTCCTCGTCCTCTTACTTTCATTTGTAACTGATGAACCTGTAGAACAACTTACTTCCCAGTTCCGTGTCCATAGTCACAAGTTATTTGTAAATTTATTGCGATTCTAAAATTTCCGTCTTTACAGAAGGAAAATGGCGGAATAATTGAGGAATATCCGGGCATTTGTGCGGGGGTGCACAGTGTAATATGCTCAAGAAATTCCCGGGAAGTTGGCCATAGATAGATTCAATGGTGGATGTTAGCACATAGTGGCAATATTAGTGTAAGTAGTTAAGGTTTGCGTAGTAAAATGTTAAATATAAATTGTGCTTTTACAGTAAAGGCCTATCTTGTCATTTGAAAAAGGTGGAAAGGGTTATATCTACCCCAAACCCACTCAAGTATGAGATACACCAGTAATGTACGGTCGGTTTTGGATACAGTGTTTATCCCGCGGGAAATATGTGTATCTCCCTCGGTCCCTGCGGTCCCTTGTGAGATACACATATTTCCCTTGTGATAAACCCTGTATCCAACACCTTCCAGTACAAAACCCTTATATATATCTTATATGTTATGTTTTTTTAATTAATACTTTCAGTAATGATGAAAATGGACGGATGCCCATTGAATGAATAAATATAGCTAAGAGAAAAGAAAGTGTTCTTTGATTCACACGAGAGACAACAGTATCCCAATATATACACATGTGACCTAGAATGAGTATCAAATTCTTAAACAAAGGTGACAATTAAATCAATTAAACACGTATGTCAAAATTACTAAAGCGAGTGTGACACCCATTTTGTTCACAGCAGCCGAATTCTGCATTGTCATATTATCTCTTCGAATATTGTCATTGTTGGTATATTTTTTATTGAGATGATTTGAATTTTCCTGTCGTTCTGGGTTCCGGCGGGATTCCTGGCATAGATTTCACCGTTCAAAATGTTGTAATTGTGAAACATGTGTTTGCGCTTTTTGTTACCAGGGTTACCATCTATTTTGGTTGTTTCAACTTTTGATGTTGTAATGCGTTTTGGAGGATTTTGTGTTGTAGTAATTTTAGTTTGAGATTTCTTCGAGTTGCCATGGAGAAACTCATTGCTGCTATGGCGATCTTGGTTATATTGGTTGCTATGGTGATCAACCTGGTTACCATTTGAAACTACATCCTGCTTTTGTGGTTGAAAAGGTCGGAAATGCCCTGTGTTTGAGTAAACCTGCTGATGTTGAAAGTTAGTATTTTCTGGTATATTGTTACCATGGCGATTGTTTCGGAATCTGGATCTTCTCTGATTTTGATAGTTAAAATTATTTGGATAAATGGATTGCTGGCCTAAAATGGGTTGCGCCTGCCAATTCCACTGTACGTTATTTTGTCTTTGTTGGTATCGCTGGTCATCTTCATCCCATTGATATGAATTACTGTTGTCATGGAAATCGTCAACAATGTTTTCTCCATTGAGCCTCCCTCTTTGGAGAGTGTCAACATGATTGAAAGGTTTGTCAACTTGAGGCAATGGCCGGTCATCTTGTATGAATGACTGGTCATCTTGTATGAATGACTGGTCATCTTGTATGAATGACTGGTCATCTTGTCTCAATAGCTCGGCATATTGTTGTTTGAGCTCGCCATTGAATGGGGGTAGTTCAGAAACCGTTACACCTGTTGGTTCGTTCTGTCCTGTCTTCATTTCGAATTCCGTTTGAAGGTATTTTTCAATCGCTTTCAAATGTTCAATATCATTTATAACATCGTCATAGTCTGAGATTACATCCATCACTTTTGAAATTGTGTCTTTTGTATCCACAGAGGTTACATGTGTAAGTTTGCCGGTATTTGTTAGTACATTAGTAGTGGTAACATGAAGTTCAGTTTCGGGAGCTGGTATATTAGTAACATGTGCATTTTGAAGGGTTTCTGGATCAGTTGGGATAGTTACAGATGTATATGGAGAGGTGATACCATTTAACGTGTCATCGATGTATGTTGTATCATCTTGTGTTGTCATGGTAACAGTATCACCTGGCTCGTCAACGGAGATCATTGGTGAAATCGATGTTGTTGTTTCCATAGCAACAGGCTCTGTTGCCATATCTACAGTTACTCCAATGACCGCATCATTTGATTCAGTTATTGTCTTATCCATCATTATGGTATCAATTATAATTTCACCTGGCAAATGTTCATTGTATGGGTGTTCTTGGTCCGGGTGTTCTTTGTTTGTATGCTGCTCACGGGGATGCTCTTTATATGAATGTTCTTTGTGAAAATGGAGACTTTCCTCACTTGGTACATATCCTGAAAAGGTAATAACTAGATATAGCAATACATAATGTATAACCTCAGTCTTACTATTCTAGAACAATAACCTATATATATATACATCTGAAAAAGAGGTATTTAGATGTAAAGAATATTCAAAGAAGAATTAATGAGTTTTTTAAAATTCACATATAATACTTTGTCATACGAGGCCCGATCAGAAAGTTTCTTACCCATTGCTCTCATTTTTTGTTTCTTTGAGATTTTAACTTGAAATGTTCACAGAATGTACATGTACCATTGCTTGTAAGATGACATAAATCATTTATTAATTGGATGAGATTTACACAAAATATAGATGTTTCTGTATTCTAAATCTGGTAGGGTGGAGCAGGTTTCTCACTGTCTGAATTAAGAGTGATTTCCCATCATCCATTGATACTTGTAAGGGTCATACGAAGAGTCTTTACATGCCTTACATGCCTCCAAAATAAAATCCTCCAAAAGAGATACACTTCCTGCATCTAGTGACACGATCTCTGAATACATGAAGGAGATTTTCATTGGAATCAGATATTCTGTAGAGGCTGCTATCGAAGGCTTCAATTATTGATTCATTGTCCTCAAATTTCAATATGCTGGGAGGTTTTTACTTTTTAGCCTAGTGGAACAAGCAGTACTGTCAACCCCCAAAGATTTTCTCGCGGGACAGATTTTTTAGACCCAGTGCCAAAAATTCGCGGGATTTTGCGGGACATTCACCTAAATTCGCGGGATTTCGCGGGACATTTAAGGGATTTGCGTGATTGCGCTAAAATGTCAAATTTCGCGGGATTTCGCGGGACCATTCGAGTGACAAACACGCTACTTGCGGGACAGTTAAAAGGGTAACCAACAAAGACTTCATAGAGGGATAATTTTTTCAGACAAAGTGCCCTAAATTCGCGAGATTTTGCGGGGCATCCACCTAAATTTGCGGGATGTCGCAGGACATTCAAGGGATTTGCGTGATTGGGGCTTAATGTAAAAGTACTCAAATCAAACTTTCAGATACTGATTTATTAAATATAATGCACTTAACTTAAGTAAACGTCAAGACAATTCCATACAATACGCATAGAACTATTATTAAACTATCAAAAAACCTGCACGCTTTAGGTGTGAGTACGGTAATCCAGAGATAGTAGTAAAGTAGTATTTGTGAATGGCGTACTGTCTTCAGGGGTTACACATATAATTGGAATATTACTTTACAAGCATCTGGTGGGACGTATTTTTATTTGTACCTATCATTTCCATGTACTTATGTTTATTTTAAGACATGTATTTGATAACAATTGCTCTTAATAATTATATTACTTCTACTGACATTCCTCTCCGTATATTTATTGAATCGAAATGTTCAATTGTGTTTTGGTTGTTTGTTGAAGATAATAATTATTTGATGCGCCAAAGCTTCAAATAAACAATTGCCATTGCCTATTGTTCCATAAGTTTCCACTTTGGACCCAGATAAATTTCTTTTTAATACTGTGTTGTTGCTAAATGATGCTGTATCATATTTAGAAATAGTTTCATTAACAATGAATGGAATATCTGCTTTTTCGAAAATGTTTTCAATTTTTAATTGTTTAAATCTGTTATTTATTACCCAATTCAAAAATTCTTGTCAATACTTTGCACTTATGGCGTTCTTGACCAACTATGAAACATTTACCCCCCCCCCACATAGTGTTATATATCAAAATGTACCTATTCATATAGGGGTTCGATTATTATACATCAAATTATAGGGAGTCGGGTTTCTTTTCGAGATATCAGTGTCCATTTATTGGAACTCACGTTTGCTAACATTTGTTCAATTCTGAGTTGAAGGCCGTGACACGCGTAAAAAAAGGCCAACGTTGGAACTAATCGTGACATACATCCCTATTTCCGTAATTAAAATGAAAATTGCACTCTTCCTCTTTATTTTGATACCAAACGGCATACTAGGTACTCTCAAGAGAAGCCAACTATGGTGTTATTTGGATCAAAATTTTGTATCTAAGTTTTATAAATGTACTATATGCTCTTTCTAAAAGCAGTCTTCGACGATCTGATGCACTGGGAGTTCGGCAGCACTTTTCAAATTAGGTAAACTTGACTCCTCAAAAGTGCAAAAAGCTTAGCTTCTTATATCACAAGATAATCACAATTATTTGGCCTCAGGGATTGTTACAATTTTGAAAATTCGCGGAGGTCAAAGCCGACATTTGCGGGACTTCGCGGGACATTGCGGGACACGCGAATTAGCCAAATTTTGGTCAAATTCGCGGGATAATCCCGCCATTCGCGGGACACTTGACAGCTCTGAACAAGTAGTAATCACATGGTGCTAGAGCTGGCAAATGAGGAGGTTGGGAAAGTATTTTTGTCACTGGAAGAGTATTAGGCCTGTTTAACTCGAAATGTATAGCTCATTTTAGAAATCAACCAGTCATAATTTCAAGTAAAAATCTCAACAAACAAAAAATGAGAGCATTTGGTGAGAAACTTCTGATCGGGCCTCGTATGTACCTGACCTATGAGGCCTAAGGTTTCATCAATGGATGGTTTTGTCATATACCTGACCCTAGTCCTAAGGTCTAATTAATGAATAGTTGCCTAATATGCCTGACATTAGGCCTATGTCTCATCAATTATTGGCTTTGTCATAAACCTGACCTTAGGCCTAAGGTCTCATCCTTGAAAACACCAATACACCTGACCTTAGGCCCAAGGTAATCATTGCATATGAGGGGGGCCGGGGGGGGGGGGGGGTAGTTGAGAATGTAACTGAAAGGTTGAGAATGTGCTATTACGTCCTCAGTTACACGTATGTTGACGTATTGATTTAGAATTACAATGGCCTCGAACTTTGCAATTACCTAATGGAAACCTGTTGCAGCCTGAGGTGTTACAAATACACCACATCTCACTCGACCACTCGTAACAATCTGGAGACAACATGACATCTGGTATAGTGACATCAGCATCGCTACTACAGCCGTGGATCACCTCTGGAAATACGAATGTCATTATATTTCAAGTGAAAACATCTTATTCCTTAACCTTATCATGCATATATGTCAATTGTATACCATATATCCCAATTTGGGGAAATACATTCGGTAATCTATTGGTCTGGTGATATATTAGGGGTTCATTATTATCCATGCCCGGGCTAAATATGTGTACTGAACGAAACTAAAAACGGGTAATTATTAAAGATACAGTGAAATTCCAAACGCGTACATTTCAGGTATCACGTTCGCCTAAACTCCGATAAGGAGTTCGGTTTGAAGCTAGAGAACTAATATTTTATTTTCTTCAAATACCATATAATTCGTAAAAAGATAACACAGCGAATAAACTGTCCTTACAATTGGGATAGAGAACAACACTTTTAAAGACGTCTCATTCAGTGATGTATCGCAAAAAGCTCGCGCACGCATTGTAACACATTTTGTGGCGTAATCCAGAGGATCCTCGCTTTTAACATGGTAGAATGTGACGTTTTTGAGAAAAATGTACACAAATGAAAATCCTTTCGTCCTCCACATTTACCTCTCTATCTCAAAACATTTTAGACGAATAACTCTGATATCATATATATATTGTTAATGGGCTAGGAGCATCATAAAACACGAATCAATTGATATTTTAGGTGAAATAAATATACGTGTTGCTGTGCTTCAAAATGGCGAATGGCGTAAATTAGCCCTATTTTGATGAATTTTGAAAACCTTTCGTCCTCCACTTTTCCACATACAACAGAAAACATACTTTTGCGAACAAAATCAACTATTTATTAATAAACTAGAGTTTAGGAGCAAAATAATCATGTATGATTTATTAAAAATTGATCTCGTATTTTTTGTTTAATGTACACCTGAAAAGTTGAAGGAACAAAAAAATGAGCAGAAAAGGTCGCTGTCAACAGATTCTATTTTTCAAACTCTATGACGTCACAATATGGGACGCTTACTAAAATTCATCCTTTGAAATAAAACTTCTATCTACCTTTATCAAGACGAAAAATAAGTATAATAGTCATATATTGTTTGAGTTATGAGCGTTTAAAGACGAAAAATAATTCAAAATGTAACGTGTCAACAGGGAATATTTGCCAGATGTTTTGGTAAAAAACTATTTTTTAAAAAAGAACGCGCAAGAATTGTGAACGGACTGTAGTTGATCTAAAAACTTCATCGAAACAGCTTTAAAATGATATACAACTTTAATTAGAATATTATTTTATAACCCGGGGAATCTAAGTTACATTCACGCGATACCCCTAAAAAAACAAATGCGCCACCTTTTTGCGACACGTCAGTATACAATGGCTATGACAATATTTACACGAATGATTTGACGTTTACCTCCTATGTTTTGTGCATTGTTTCTGGTGTAACATACTCCACTGCATGACGTAGGACGGAGGACGTATGTGTTAACTGCCCCAGAACTTGGACAATCTTTGCTCTGACTCCCAAATCCTCCACTCGAACAGGTGTAACAATCTAGACACGACCCTGAAACAATATATTGTAGCGGTCAACAGTCAATGTTTTTGACTTTTAACGAACATATTGTACTGAACTATTTAGACTGATGTGTTTACGGTTAACAATTTGAACTAGATAATGGCAACTCCGCGGATTAGCAAATCCCAACGAACAAAATATCAATTAGCGAATTCCAATCAATTATACTCATTATACTTTGGTTAAAATTGAAAAAATTAGATTTTAGAATTCCGAATTCCTGCAAAGCAGCCATTTTGAATTTTCTGAGATACAAATCTGAAAAATAATACCATAATTGTGATTTACTCCAAAATTTCTTCAATTTGAGTATAATATAGCCATACTTTGAAGGGATCGAAAAATTATTGCGAAATCGTACATTAGATGGCCATTTTGAAATAAATAAATGTTGTGAATATACTACCAAAATTTAAACAATAATATTAATTACTTTGGTTCAGAATGAAAAATTTATGATTTTTGCGAAAAAGCCCCGTCATTTTTAAAGCAGCAGCCATCTTGAAAAATTTTCTTTTTGCGCAAAACTATTCACCAATATACATCTTTCCATTAAATATGAAGAAAATCAGTCAACTAGTATCTTCCGGACAGACGGACGGACTGACTGACTGACTGACTGACGGACTGACTGACAGACGGACGGACAGAGGGCTTCACTATATCCCTACCGAACTTCGTTCGTTGGGATAATTATTGATCTATTCATAGTCTGGTAAATTGACTGGCTGTTTGTAGCCATTTTGAAACTCTAAATTTCCCTGTGTTTAATGTGTCAGGGAATCAATCAAGACACATACTATATTGCACTTCACTTCATAAAATTATACTAAATGATACAATAGTATACAATATAATGGCCGAAAATTAGAATTTCCCCTCTACATGTAAGTAGTTGAATTTATCATCACTTAAATACAATTATTTGAATTAATTTTAAACTTACCAATGTGGACAAAACATAAAAACGTTAAAATCTTTCCAATAATATCCATTTTTACAAAAGTTTACTGTTGAATATTGTTTCCGTGTAGAAAACGTTTTACTTTAATATGACGTTGTATTGTGTCGAATGATACTAAAATAAAATTAAACTGATTCCCATGTTTTTTAATTGATGTGATTTTTGAGATACTTCTACGACACTGTACACCTGTCATTAATGATTGCATTTATCAATTAATTATAATATCATTATCCAATCACAATAAAAAGCTAATTTACACTTCAATTTAAATCTAAATTGATCGATAAAAAAACTTTGGATAACTGTATGAAGAATATTCAGTTTGTTTCAAAATATTTTAAGTGCGTCTTTAAAAATATGCATATTCGGGAGAAAGGAATGCCTTCCTGCAAATGTTTGAGAGGAAAAGTTTGGAACTGGAACTTTATTCTTCTTCACATCAGTTAAAAAAAATATCAGTCAAAATAGCAAGTCATAAGAGTTAAAGTTCAACCTTACACCCCCAGACAAAAGTACCACTAGACGATATTAATATGAATGAATGGGCATGTAACAACCAAACTCAAAAGGCATTTCTTGCAAATATGTGCACAACTAACGCAGTCTTTGGAATTCGTGAACAATATGACATATATGGTATGAGCATCTGATGGAAAATAAAACTTTAATTCACATGACACTCGTACTGAAAACATCTGTTTTAAATACCATTCACTACTTACAGTTAATTTCACTTAATACATTTTGCTTTAACGTTGTTTTGGGGGATTTTTAGTAAGCTTACTTGTTTCCATGTATCCATCATTCGTTGCATCGAACATTTTTAAAATCCTTGTTCCGTGTTTTTTATATTTTCAAATGTAGCCACACTGACATATTTTGCGCAGGTGCGATAAACAGGTGATTAATTGTTAATTATATAATTATAGGGATTTTATTGTGAGAATTTGTAGGAAGGTACGTTTTACATGTTCGAGATCACTTTCTTGATCGTAAAAAAGATGCCATATCCAGTGATATAATATCACGTCGTTTGATGATTCATTTTTACAAACGATTTGACTTAATATGCCTTCTAGTGGCTATACTTGCGAATGACTAACATTTCTGACAATTCTGATAACAAATCTGGTAATTGCAACAACGTATATGATCATTTTCATAATGCAACTCTTATATCAAAAATGCATTAATTTTGCATCAGCAATTCTATAGGGAACAACGTATTATATTGCGTTGGATATAAAAGAAAATATTTAAGCACAAGAAAGAATAATGAATATTAATTCACACATAGCTAGGCAAGGTGTGTCTAATACCAGTCAATCAGAACACGCTGTTTCACGTAACTGCATTCCATTATATAATCAACAATTCACCCAAGGTCATCTCGATAAACTGAGAAGTCAAGACTCAATGCATTAAGGAATGACCATTCCTTTCAACAGAGACATTTATTATATGTTTCTGCTTTCAGGCGTTGTTTCTTAAAATTAACAATCATCGATGCAAGCATCCCGTGTAAATTGGAAAGCAACGCCTTCAAGCAATGATTAATAAGTACAGGCCTTAAATCCTTAAATAAAGCAATGTACAATTTTAACCTTGGATGCTTTCATGTCATTTTCAAACATTCAACCGCACGAACATGAAATAAGAACAAGTAATGGGTTCAAGTACAATTTTGACACAATTGATTATATCAATTAAAGTTTTATCAATAAAGGTTAATATTGAGCCCATTACATTACGTTACATGAACGTTAATGTGGCGGATACTTATAGTTATATTCTCATATTTTAACTTATGTTCATCCTGATTTCGAGTGCCCAGCAGTGTAGTAGTACAATTCTATACTCTGAGATTATCTGCCTTGAACGAATTTCCAGTGCTACTGCTGAAATATTAATGTAAAATGGTAACATGCAGCCTTTCGTCTTTGGAGTTTAAATACGAAATTAATGTCACTATGACAACCGACAGAACGTGCAATGTGATATCAAATCAGATTGTAGAATCGTTTGTGTAGAGTTCAGACGAAGATTCTCATTCAAACTATTGTAAAGGGTAACTTATAATGCAACCCCTAAATAAAGATCAGTAGAAGTGTCACATACTCTGTTTATTTGTTGAATTAAACTAGGGAATAAAAGTTAATTTTTATACAATTTTATGATGCCGTGAATTGAAAACATACACGTATGCATACATTTATACACTCCGTGTATTAACTAAGATGTAAAGCAATGTACAATTAAATGACTTTCAGCATGTAAAAATGTTTTCAATGTCATTGCATTACTTTCCCTGGAGTAAACCAGAGACATGTTTTATACGTCTCTGTGTAAACTAAATTGTAAACCAGTGTAACAACAGCCTGAGAATAACAATGATGAAGTCCAAGGAAGATGTTATTCAAGACTGTAAGAGAGGTTCGGACAATAAAATGAATTATCAATAATACAATACACTGATGATCGAAACTCTTCAATCTAAACAACACTGGCTACAAACAGAGCTCACGAAGCTCGTCTTGCACGTGAAACTGCTGTAGCTCTGTTTAAAAGTGCAGATGGAACTACTGTATGAATTCTCTATGTGGCAATGCAAATGAAACTACTGTATAGAATTTGCAGATTAGATGCTTACAAATTCCGCAAGGGTAAACTGCTGTATGAACTCTACACGAAAACTATGTAAAATCTGCACACGATACTGATGTATAATTTCTGCACGTGAAACTGCTCTATAAAATCTGCACACTAGACTGCTCTATAATTTCTACACGTGATACTGCTGTACAAATTATGCACGTGACACTCCTGTATGAATTATGCACGTGACACTGTTGTGTAATTATGCGCGTAACACCGCTGTATACATTCCGAAAGTGACACTGCTGTATAAATGCTGCAACTAACACTGTTGTATGAATTATTCACGTGGCACTGCTGCATAAATTCTGAACATGAGACTGCTGTATACATTTTGCACGTGAGACTGCTATTTAAATTCTCTATGTGACACTGCTGTATAAATCGTTCACACGAGACTGTTGTATAACTTATAAACGTGGAAATGCTGTATACATTCTGTATATGAGACTGCTGTACAGATTCTGTACTACTAAATCTGCATGAGACACTGAAGTATAAATTTTGCACATGACACTGGTGTAAATTATACACGTGAAAATGCAGTATAAATTTTGCATATGAAACTCCTGTAATAACGCAGTATAAATGAACTCATTGAACATATAAATACATATGCCGATATCATACATGAACATTTGTTATAGACTTCCTATACTCCTCTTTCAACTGACTTTATACGCCATATATGAGATAATATGTATTGTTACAGCATTCATATTTAGTCTAACAAGTGTATACTATATTGACGCAGGAACCGAGTATGACTTTCACGACAGGACAGAAGATTTTGAAGATATATCCGATGAATTTGATGATATATCCAATGAAACTGACACAAAAACTGGAAACTCCCAAGAAGAATTTGAGGATATGACTGATGCTTTTGATGACATATCTGATGATGTCGAAAAACAATCGGATGGTGATGACAACAAATCGGATGATTTTCTCTTCGAAGAGATATCAAACAACTATTTGGAAAATATGTCTGATAGTTCTGACAGTTGGTCTGATAACTACAAGAATCTCTACGAGTTTGATAATTTTTGCGACGACTGGAATAAAATTCAAGATTTCCATTCATCGAGCTCTAGTCAAGCCATACAATCTGATGATGATGAAGTATTTGATTTGGCCACTGTAGATAGTGTTAAAGTGCAAGACAGAAATACTGAATTTCATGAAGCAGTATACAACATTGGGGAGCTGGATGTTACAGAAAATGTCGAAGACCAAGAAAGAAATACTGAATTGCATGAAGCAGTATACAACATTGGGGAGCTGGATGGCAAAGAAAATGTTAAAGACCAAGAAAGTAATACTGAATTTCATGAAGCTGTTTATAACCTAGGAGAGCTGGATGCAATAGAAGATGTTGAAGAGCGAGAAAAAAATACTGAATATAATGAAGCAGGATACAACATTGAAGAACCGGATGCAATTTGTAATGTTGAAGGGCAAAATAGAAATTCTGAACTTAGTGAAGCAACATATAACCTTGGAGGTTTAGATGACACAGATAATGTTGAAGAACAAGATAGGAATGCTGAATTTAGTGATGTGGTATATGACCCACATGTGCAAGAGTCGGATGTTGATGCAGATGATGAAGATTCAGAAGATAGCATTGATGAATTTACGCTCTGTAGAGAAGAGCTTGTAAATGAAATTACAATTAACACGGTGTTAAGGTAGACGAAGTCTCAACCATATAAATTAATAGAACAAATCATTTGAAAATATGTGATTTTATATCATCTAAAAATGTAAATAACTGTCTCAAAAGCAATTGTATAAATGATTGTTCTTAAGAAGGTGTGATTTACAGGGTGATCAAAAAGTGACCCAGAAATAAACACTTATATTACTTAAGGGCCTCTTTTACTGGGTCACCCTGTACACGTTCAAGATTTTTAATTCATTGGAATATTCTACTTCTCATCAAATAAAAGTATTCTCTATTATGCAGATGAGATACTGATACAGTAGTACTGTAAAAGTAAGCATTTTACTAAACTTAACTAAAAATAAGTGTTCTACAAAAATATAATCACTAGACCTTTCCAATAAATTCTTACCCCTTTTAATGAAACAAGACAGCTAAGGCATGTTGACTAGATTCAAGATATCATTTGCATTAACAAATTGTAAGAAAGAAGTCTTTAACTCTAACAATAGATGAATACTATTTCTGCCTTGAAATTGTAACAATGACATCATAACCAATGTGCCATATTTTACTGGATTGATCTACTTTCAGTGTATAATTCTTAAATTCTTATAGCAATAATTCTCATCCACTATCTATTTTCCAACAAGATTACATGATGTAATGATTTGACAGAAAGAATGGAACAAAAGTCCTAGTTGAGAATATACACTCCCCGACAAAAGTATTGCAACCCCCAGTCCCCATTTGACAAATGTGTTGCAAAACTTTAGAAGGGAGTGTTGCTGTATAAATACTCTCACATTTTTGTTTCATATCAGCAACTTGCAAGATTTCATTGTTTCGTCAAATCAGAAGCTTCATTTTCCAGAGCTTAACTAATTTTTTGAAGTCTTGCCAGATACTGTTATGTACAGGGTGTCAAATAAATATGTTATCCCCCTTAATTCCAAAAGTATGAACTTTTTGTGCTTAAAAGTGCATCTAGTTAAAAAAGTCATCTGAAACTTCTTTTGGAGTTGTGCCATGAAGCCTAGTTTTTGATATGCCAATTCAGATTACATCCAGACAAAAAAGTTATGCAACGTTATATTGATGTTAAATCTAAGAAGGGAGGACATATTTATTTGTACACCCCATATGTAAAGAAGACATCTTTGAGTTATGTTGTATCATGATTAAATATATGGTACCTTTAAGATAAATACATTGTTCAGAGCTATCCTGATTATATTGCATTTATTCTTCTTTCTCCTTAAGATCAATTTCAGACTTTTTCCTATTATAAAGCTCTATCAAAAACTGGTCAGGTTTAAGGTTTTTCTCGTCCAGTTCCGACCAAACTTTTTCCAATCTTGAAATATTTCTTGCACTGTCAAGTTTCCTTCCTATAAAATACAACTCGAATTGTTCCCGAGATAATAGTTTACACTGATCCACGTCACAGAGATTTTTAGTTGTTGATTTGTCTAATTTTGGAAAGAAATTAATTCCTGTCCATATTTGGAGATCTTCGAGTGTCACTTGGTATTGTCTTAGAGTATGGTCATGTTGGATTGGTTGATTAGGAACGACAAATGCTCCAATGAGTTTTGTTTGTTTATCACCAGTTTCAGCCAGTATTATCTTGTAAAGATGGGTTGGAACTGGAACTTCATTCTTTCCTATCACCTGAAATTGAATAAATTTATGTACAGTGACACCTCTCCAAGTCTATCTTAAGGCATTACAATGCAAAATGTCACCACCTGCCATTTATTACAATGTCCCCCAAACTCAGATTACCATCCACAAAAAGGTATGTATAGTGGAACTCCTCTTAAGTTGGAACATGTCAATGGATGAAACACCTCTGGATGTTGAACACCACTAGAAGTGGAACACTTTTTCAAACACCAACTTTTACCAGTCCAAAGACCAACTGACTTAATGTTAAATGAATATCTAATAAGTGGAACTAGTCCTAGTCTAGGTACTGTTATGATCTTGACAGTACAGTACAAGTTCTACATGTGTAACTGCTACACATGTACGAGTAACATAATAACTCAAAGGAAGTAAACAAGATGATACCAGATGCTGGATAGTATTACAGGTACCATAAGGTGTTCCACTTTCACATGTTTACTGCATGATATAATACAATTGTAACTTGTAATATAGATAATTACACTCTGGCAAAATTTGGCTCCATGCTACAATATAGCAAATAGAAGTAATTATGAATGCTTGCACATGCAATGTTTAAGTGTGTACTGCAAGTCTATCAGGCGGCATTGACATATAAAATGTCACAACCTGCCATTGTTACACTTGTGGTGATGACATAGATGCAATAATGTGCAATTAAAGCACTGAAATATTTAAATACCCTGGAATCCCAGGGGTTAGAAGTAATTACTACCATTTGAAATAGGACAAACAAGACATACATAATTCTGAAATACAATCTGAATCTTAAATCTCATAATATAGTACATTTGATTACCTTTCTTGAATCAGTCACTTGATGCTGTATTAGTAATTCTTATCTTTCACATATCAAATATGAACAACCAACAACAATTTTCTGGAAGGAGGTCACATTTGATCCCCTTTTCATATTTAAACATTTATGGTCAGGTTAGGGGTTCACTTTTTAAAATTTTCCAGGAGGGTTCACATTTGACAACTTTGGCTCTAGATCACTTGAAAGGTGCTCAGAATGGTGAAAAACTTCAGAATTTTGAAAGAATTCAGGGGTTCCCCTGAACCCCCTGGAAATGGGCCTTATCCCCATATCATTTTTTCTCAATAAGTAAGAGTCATTTTTTTCTTTTCTTTTATACTTGAAGTATACTGACCTCATATTTCACAAACTTTTTTCCATTTTCTTCTATAGTTGACCTGACAATAGGGCCAGTTACCACCCACACATCAGAATAACCTTTAGTCTGAACCTACAAAAAGCGGTTTATTAAAAGTAAAGATCATATGGTTTTTATTAAAGCTGGAAACCTATACACTCCCAATCCACACTGTAAAATCACCTTATGTACGTAACTACAAATAAGGAGTATGGTACCAACTGTATTGAATGGTACTGTTGTAATATGGTGTCATATAGTGTTCATGGACATGGTACCATTTTAGTCTACATTACCATATGGTACCATATTTCACGGTACTGTATTGCATCATTGCCAAAACAGTACCGTACGGTACTGTTGCAGATTGGCTGTGTATAGCATCATATGCACAACATTTGATGCACAATTGTTAAACAATTTAACAATTGTTAAACAATGAAAATATGCTTTACAATTTACTCCATATCCAAGAAAGTTAAATTAATTTCATGTGTCATGGTGAGGTATTTTTTTAATATATACCGGTATTTATTTCAGTCAAGAACAGCTGTAAAATCACATGTTTACCGTACTAAAGATATCAAAATAGATGAATACAATGTTGTAAAGTCAATAATGCTTAAATTATCAAGGAAAAACAGTTATTCAAAAGCATACGGTTTAAAGGATCCCATTTATCTTCCTATGCTTAAATATATTTTGTAATAGGTTGATACATTTAGCTTAAAATCTCTTACCAGGTCTCTTGTGTACATTTCCAGTTTGTTCCAAAACTGGCCATTATTGTTCAAATCCTGAGGTACAATGTTGGAGAGGTAGAAACTTTCATCCATAGCAACCTGGAATCAAAGTAAAATGCCTTGTATCTAAAATTTGTTAAAAGGGGATGATGTCCTATCATCAGAAGTTGTGAAAGGACAAAGTTAATTTTGATTAGGCAGAGGGGTGAATGATGACCTTCTTAGCAAAGACTGCAGATTTCTTTAATTCAAGTGAAAGACGAATCAATATTTGAAAATGAGGCCATGTGAACTCATCTGATCAAATTAATGTGGCCTCACCTGATCAAATTTATTATCTCCAGCGGGAGCCATATGGCCTCTGGACCATCCACTCTTATAGAAGTCACTGTTTGCAGCATTGTACATCTCAGGTATGTTGACATCAGGTTTGAACTTGCTGTGTTTCCTATTGGCTGAACCTTCAAAGAAAACATAAGTGATGGGGGTTAGGCCTGGGGGCAGGCATGGCTTTTATTAGTAGTCAATACACTATTTTTTTTTCATTCAAGTAATAAATTAATACAATTCAAGTGCAAGCTTCATTTAATTCAAGTAGTCCTTTCATATAGATATACATGTATGTACTATAATACTATATATATACACTACAACAAATAAAAAACAGGCAATAAAATTAGAAAATATTGAATTTTACACTCTCTACATGTATATCTTTTGATTCCTTTCTAAATGTAAATCTTTGATTTAGTTTTATGAGAAACAATAAATACATTTATCGTATGATCTGTAAAATGAAGCCTTCTGATTGGTCAGTTCTTGTGCTGCATCAATCTATATTGCTACTGAGATAGTCCCCATTGATCATCTCCGTCGCAATACAGAAAATATTGGTACGGAGAGGACATTCTCAGTAGCAATACAGAGGATCACACGATAAAAACGTTATAGAATGATTTGAAGTGCAGTACAGGATATATTCTGCTCTCGATATTCGACTTTTATAGCACCGTATATGCAGGAACACCATGGGTATCTGAGCCACACCCAGGATTTAAAATTAGGTGAGTCAAATACAATGGAAGAGAATATGGTGCAACACAAGTATATAGGACTAGACTTTACCTGTTAAAACCTCCTTATTCAAATGTTCTGCAACCCAAATAGGTGACTTCCTAGACTGGTCATAAGTCAAGGCATGGTTCCTATAGTAACGAACATCTGGGCCTCGATCAGGGACCCCATATTTGAGAATCTGATCCCCTCGTAATTTATAGCTGGGATCTAAAAAAGGAAAGAAATTACAGGTCTCTCTTTTCAACAGAGTGCTTAATCGTAATAATTATCAAGTTCAATTCATGCCATTTTTTCTCCAATTTTGCAACATTCTGTTTTAAATTTCAATATTCAATTATTTGCCTTTTATTTTCATTCTTGCACTGTAACTTGAATATACATATATGTACATTGTGTACTTGTATATTCATATATGATTATCATTTACATAGTACATGTGAAAAGTGTTGTTCCTCAGGAAAGAAACCCAGAGTGACAAGAAAATCTGTCACAAAATGTTTCACTAAAACTGCTCTTATTTGAACAATTTTCATCCAATTAACACATTGTTTCAAAATATGTAGAAATGATTTGTTCCATCTAATCTTAAATTTATCATCTTAAGTTGAAAAGGTATCAAGTAAAATGTCAAAAGGTGGCAACAATGAAAAATTCTCTGGTTTCAAACGATTTTTGAGCCTGGGATTCAAGAGGTTGCCTATGTCTATGTCTGCAAAAGGCTAATAAGCCCATATAAAGCAGATATAATTTAACATAGAATTTGAATAGAATATCATTTAAAACCTTATCATTTAAAAATAGATCTATGGTTTACAACTCACTTTAAAATTGAAAAGAACCTTCCTGGTTGGCCAAGTTTTTGCTTATATGACCTTGTTCAGGGAACTCAAACTTACCAGTTAAGGATTCCTGGTACTCCACATGTATTCCAGACTCAATAGCAAGATTTGCATTGTTATTGTATGAATATATACCAAACAGAGCCGAGGACACCAGACCTCCTGAGAGAAACCCACGCAGGAACACCGAAACCACTGGTTGTGCCATTATTCTGAAAAGCAGTTCATTGTTGCATTTGTACGCAATGGATCATAACTGTACTCAGGGGTTTCACTAGAATTTCTCACAACAGGCTAAATAAATGAAAACAACAGGCAAAATTAATGGGAATCATAAATTTTACGTTGAAAAGTCCCTAAAAACAACAGGCGATTTCGTAAAAACGAATGGCAAAAATTGCCTGTTGCCTGCTGCTAATCAAACCCCTGTGTACTCCTGGCATTTTTTGTGTGCAAATAATTTTGTGCTTTTTGTGATTGTGGTAAAATGGTGAAAATGATAGTCGTGAAATTTGCCAATCAAAACCTTGAGTGTTTAGCATGTTGTTTTTTAGTATTCAACGCCGAGCTAGAATATATCTGAAGAGCTCCAAATTAATACAAAATAGAACACGAAGCAAAATTCCCTTTTGCGACGTTTCTTATTAGTTCTTAAATCGGAACAAACCCAGAAACCAGAAAAATATAAGATTTGTAAAAATTTGAAATTACCTGAATTCCAAAATGGAAAATAGTTTACGCTCGTTAGAAAATCTATCCCCGGGAATCTATCATTCTATAATCTGTAATTCTCATGCTTTATATGCTACAAAAAAGTCAATGTAAAGCATGATATATGAGTTTGAAATGATTTTCGCTCACATATTCAATGTGCCTAAATGGCCTAAATCCATCAAAAGCCACTGGACCCGATCTTATTCCGACTAGGGTCCTGAAGGAATGCAGTGACAGCATATCACCATTCCTTCAAATAATTTTTCAACAGTCTATCGATGAAGGCTTAGTGCCTATGGACTGGAAACATGCCAATGTTACTGCTATCTACAAAAAGGGACGAAGAGACGAGGCTGTGAATTACAGGCCTGTATCTCTGACGTCAGTTCCATGTAAAATAATGGAACATATTATATTCCATCATGTTATGGCCCACTTTGACCTCTATGAAATTCTAGTAAAATTCCAACATGGATTCAGGTCAAAGCACTCCTGTGAAACACAACTTCCCAGATAGCACAACGACGTTGGGCCAACGTTGGGCCAACAGCATGCCAGCCAGTGGGCCAACAGTGGCTGCCAACGTTGGCCCAACGTTGGCGTGTCCAGCCAGCCAACGTTGGTCCAACGTTGGCAGCCACCAAAGAACCAACGTTGGCCCAACGTTGGCGTGTCCAGCCAGCCAACGTTGGTCCAACGTTGGCAGCCACCAAAGAACCAACGTTGGTCCATCGTTGGCCCAATGTTGGTCCATCGTTGGCCCAACGTTGGCGTGTCCAGCCAGCCAACGTTGGTCCAACGTTGGCAGCCACCAAAGAACCAACGTTGGCCCATCGTTGGCCCACCATTGACACAATTTACTTTTTTGAACAGCCATTGTTGGCTCCTTGGTATTAGCGGCAGCCCACAATGGGCCGCCCACAATGGGCCAACTGCGATCATGCCACCCAATGGGCACCAGTAGTGACGTTGGCCCGACGTCTTTGTGATATCTGGGCATTCGATGCTCTCACTGTAAATGTGTTCACATATAATATCCGTTCTACATCAATAAAATATGGTGGCTTGTTTTTCCATACTAAATATATTTGGTAGCCTTATAAGTGGTTTCAACTGTATTACAAGGCGAAAATCCATATTTCTGAGGTAAACAACATTATCAGATAATTTTGAAAGAAAATATTTCATAAAATTTACCTTAATTTTTTTAATGACTGCTGGTATGTTTTTCATCAATTTTTAAGCAAAGCATTTGCACTGATTTATGGATAAGTGGCTTCCTGGTGTTAGCGGCAGCCAACGACGGTCCAACGTTGGCCCAACTACAATTTGCCAACTGCATTTTTGCACTGATTTATCGATAGGTGGCTTCCTGGTATAAGTGGCAGCCAACGACGGGCCAACGTTGGCCCAACTACAATTTGCCAACTGCAATTTTGCACTGATTTATCGATAGGTGGCCCCCTGGTATTAGCGGCAGCCAACGACGGGCCAACGTTGGCCCAACTACAATTTGCCAACTGCAATTTTGATCCATGGTATTAGCGGCAGCCAACGATGGGCCAACGTTGGCCAAACTACAATTTGCCAACTGCAATTTTGATCCATGGTATTAGCGGCAGCCAACGACGGGCCAACGTTGGCCCAACTACAATTTGCCAACTGCAATTTTGATCCTGTTATTAGCGGCAGCCAACGACGGGCCAACGTTGGCCCAACTACACTGTGCCAACTGCAATTTTGATCCATGGTATTAGCGGCAGCCAACGACGGGCCAACGTTGGCCCAACTACAATTTGCCAACTGCAATTTTGATCCTGTTATTAGCGGCAGCCAACGACGGGCCAACGTTGGCCCAACTACAATTTGCCAACTGCAATTTTGATCCATGGTATTAGCGGCAGCCAACGACGGGCCAACGTTGGCCCAACTACAATTTGCCAACTGCAATTTTGATCCATGGTATTAGCGGCAGCCAACGACGGGCCAACGTTGGCCCAACTACAATTTGCCAACTGCAATTTTGATCCTGTTATTAGCGGCAGCCAACGACGGGCCAACATTGGCCCAACTACACTGTGCCAACTGCAATTTTGATCCATGGTATTAGCGGCAGCCAACGACGGGCCAACGTTGGCCCAACTACAATTTGCCAACTGCAATTTTGATCCTGTTATTAGCGGCAGCCAACGACGGGCCAACGTTGGCCCAACTACAATTTGCCAACTGCAATTTTGATCCATGGTATTAGCGGCAGCCAACGACGGGCCAACGTTGGCCCAACTACAATGCCATGCCAACCAATGGCCACCAATAGCGACGTCGGCCCGACGTCTTTGTGCTATCTGGGTTGTCAATACAATAGAGAATATAGCTCGGGCCCTCGACAACAATAAACAAACAGACATGTTGGTATTAGACTTTTCCAAAGCGTTTGACACGGTGGCTCACGAACGCCTCTTGCTCAAACTCGACTATTATGGAATTCGCAATAATAACTTGAACTGGTTCAGATCCTGGCTTGTGGGAAGATCACAACAGGTAGTGCTCGATGGTGAATCAAGTTCAAAAACTCCAGTAAAATCAGGAGTTCCTCAAGGAACAGTTCTTGGACCACTCTGTTTCCTTGTTTATATCAATGATATGGGCAATAACCTAGCTATCATCCTCAGCCAGTCTTAAGCTTTTTGCCGACGACAGCCTTTTATTCATGACAGTCGAAAGCAAGCAAGATGCATTAACACTCATGAGAATCTTGATAAACTGGTCTCCTGGGCATCAACATGGCAAATGAAATTCCATCCATCAAAATGCTATGTGCTAAATATTCACAAAGGTAAATCCCCTATCATGCACAATTACACCATGCTAGGGGAAAACCTTAAGTCGGTAACACACATCCCATACCTTAGAATTGACATCACAAATAACTTACGCTGGACTATGTCAATAACTGCAATTAAATAGGTGTGTTTTTAATATAGATCTATGTTTTAATGTAAAGGGTCCCCAGTGCACAGCAACAAGCCTGCACTACTGGTAAAGAGGGGTGATGTCAACGCGGTAGCCTGACAGTCTCCCCAGGTAAAATGGATCTATTTTTAAATGTTAAGGTTTTAAATTATATTCTATTCAAATTCTATCACTGTTAAATTATATATCTGCTTTATATGGGCTTATTAGCCTTTTGCAGATTATTGACATAGACATAGACATAGGATTAGAAACCGGAAGTGCTATTTTCTTAAATACATAAAATCACGGACGTCAAGTACGTTTCTGGCAAAAGCCGGAGCATAGATTATTTAGAGGACTGGAAACAAGAATGACTTACCTTTTTATTTCCCGAATCTCGCCTGAAATTAGCTCATCTTGGTGACTGGGGGGTAGGTACGAAAAATTTCGAACGGAATGCGTGACATATCCGTAATACGCGTGAAAAGTCCGAACGAAATGCGTACGTTTTTTCCCGTCGTTCGTATTTTTGCTGTGTAGACGATCTTTTTTAGAAAATTTTCTACAGAAAGATTTTTGCTTGACAATTACCAGGTAAATTTGCAAAAAACTTGCAAAAATAACTGGCGTGACTTCAAATTCTTCAGCAAATGCGTGACAAATACGCAAATTGCGGGACAGTTGACAGGCCTGACATATGTATTAACAGTGTAGAACCTTCAGAGGAATGTAGATCCTGACAGTCTATCAAACAAAATTATTGATTTGGATTTGTAGTCTTGAACTTTGAGAAACTTAGATAGCACAGTATGTGACCTAGTTTGATGACCTTTGACCTTGAAAATTTTACTTATTCAGAGCTGACAGTAGTTCTTTAGTGATTAAGGTGACCAAAATTTACATCCAAAAAATCAAATTGAAAATCAACTTTTTTGACCTTTCGGGAAGGTCACTGAAGGTCGAGTAAAGGTCAAATCTCAAAACGTAAGTTCAACTTGTAGATAATTTACAAAACAAAATTCGGTTAAATTGAAGCAAGTTGAAAAATAACTTATTTTTACTGGTTGTTGACGTCAAATATATAAAAAATGTTATTTGATGCTGACATATATTGAGCAATATGTAGGGAATGCTTAAATCTAGTCATGATGTAATTCATTTCAAGAAATGATCAAGTATAAGGACAAACTTTGAGAAACTTGGCAATAACCAAACCTGCCATTGACTTTATACATGAGAAAGTTCCCTGAAAATGACGAAGTCCCATTTTTTGTCAAATTCTGATCAATGACTGGCTGTGACATCATATCCTATATAATTCGGTAAGTAGAAGGTTTCTATGTACAGCTAAAATAGGAAATATTGGAGTTTCGATTAGTTCAGGAGTAAAATATGGAAAAGCACTTACAACACATTTTCTGTCAACATGAACATAATAATCAGTTTCCTTAGTGGAATTTTTTTTCTCTTTAGTTTTCTTGTCAAAATAACTCCACTTCCCCTTATGATGAATGACAATGTCATTAGGGGGTTTTGCGTCGACAACATATTCGATATATCGATTTTACATGATAAACAAGATGCCCTCTCCTCTCTTACCTCCTTTTTTGATAATCTTTAATTTGTTATTATTGTGATATGGTTGAGTAAATTGAGCCGAAAACGTAGGATTTATGTCCTCCAATGGAGGGCACCTTACCACCTCTTTGTTGTGTCTCACTCTGTTTTCAGACTTTTTTCCTGTCTGTTTAGTTTTGCTGGTAGTGAGGCCTGTGAGCCCCTTGTTTGACCCTGCTTGGCTTTGGAGCCACATTATATGACGGTCGAGTACACCAATTTTATGAGCAACTGCAATACTGTGAGAGCATATCATACCTGCCAACCTAAGACCAAAATTTTGCGGTAGATTTTTTTGAAATTGCTGTATTTTTGCTGTTTTTTTTAAAAATACTGTAGTTTTCAGAGGTTTGGGGTATATTTTTGAAAAAAGTGTAATTTTGCGGTAGAAATTTGAAAAAAGCGGTAGTTTTGCGGAAGATTTAGAAAAAATGCGGTAGTTTTACGGTAGTTTTTTGAAAAAAACGGTAGTTTTGTGAAAGATTCTGGAAAAAGGTAGATTTACGGTAGATTTCGAAAAAATGCGGTAGTTTTATCGTAGTTTTTTGAAAAACCGGTAGTTTTGCGGAAAATTCTGAAAAAATGCGGTAGTTTTACGGTAGATTTTGAAAATTGCGGTAGTTTTTACGGTAATTTTTTGAAAAACCGGTACTTTTGCGGAAGAATTTGAAAAAATGCGGTAGTTTTACGGTAGATTTTGAAAATTGCAGTAGTTTTTTACAGTAATTTTTTGAAAAACTTGTACTTTTGCGGAAGATTTGCCAAAATGCGGTATTTTTCGGTAGATTTTGGAAAATGCGGTAGTTAAACCTTTATACAATGCGGTTTTCTATATTAATACAATGTTTACGTGGTCATATTGTTGTAACAGTTGTTATTGTGAATACATATTTTACTGCAAGAGTGCTTTTGATAATTACAGTTTGTAAAGCAGAACTACCACCTGAGAATATTACGAAACTATTTTTTTCAAGAAATAATAGATATGGTATTTTCAAGAATAAATAGAGACTAAACACTTTTTATTCTTCATTTACCATGCCTACAATGGACTGACAGCAACTTTGGATTTTAATGTTTCAGCAAAATGTACAACAAATGCAAAACTCTTTTACAACTCTTTTACAATAAATCTAGATTGATTCAAAATACGAGCACAATATTCATATCTCCACTTTTATTCACCTTCTAACCAGTTTTTTAGATATCAGGATGTTTGGAAATACCATGAATGAAACATTTACTGAAATACAAAATATGGATTTTACACGTTTTTACTCACCATCTCAGAGGATCTATCACTTTAACGAATTGAAATGACAGACATAATGTTCATATTTCATTGGAATCATATGGTATTAAATATTGATTAGTTCACTCGCAATATAATGATATCAATGTGTTTGTCTGACACAAATAGAAAATAAGTACAGATAAATAGTCTTTCAAAAATAATCTGTTATGAGCATTTGCTGAAACTTTTCCCTTGAGACATCGTTTTGATTCGGATATCACAATACCTTTTTAATAAACCAAAACTCAATGCTTTATATTATGTGTATGTTACTGAGATAATGTGTTCTGATGAAAAATACAACATTTTATCGTACTGTAAACAAATTGATTAAACTATGTATAATGTATATGTGGCGTTCATTACTGATCATAACAAATCAAACTACGCATATTTCATACGCTAAAACAAGTAGTTTTTGTCATTTCCGCTCTTAAATCATATTTTTGTTGCATTCGGAGTAAAGATCTGTGTACAAAAGGGTTTGGTTAACTACAAAAACATGGCAGAAAGAATTCTTTCTAGCTAGTGGTAGTTGGTGTTTGGACTGATTACACGCAAGCTTACTAAGATAAATGCGCAATAACCTGATAACCACAGACCTGCCGATACCTATTTATATTCGGGTTGGTGAAGGAATATTACAGGGACAGTACAGGAAGACTTCAATTTTTCAGCATTTCCCAACAATAACGGGAAATTTTACGGTAGTTTGAACAAAAATACTGTTGATTTTAGCAGAAATACGGTAGATTTCCGAAAATTTACGGTAGATTTTACGGCCGTTCTCATGGAATAAACGAGTTTTTTAAAAAGAAAATTTACGGTAGATTACGAAAAAATACGGTAGATTATTTTACGGGCGTTTTTACGGGGAAAAAATGTATTTTTTTACGGTAGTTTGTCATTTTTTTACGGAAAAACGAAAAATTTACGGTAAATTCCCGTAAAAATACGGTAGGTTGGCAGGTATGGCATTTGGAGCCTCCTAAATATGCTTTACATTGGCATGATACATGGTCATCATAAGCTTGACATGTTGTTCCATCCCAATTGAAAAATAAAACTAATTACCAACTTATTACCAACTAATTTACAACTAATTATCAACAATTCTGCTGGCAATTGGAATTAAAGTTAAGCGTTAATTAAATCAATGATAATTATGGCCTAATTATCAGTAGCAAGTTCAACGTAAATTAACTTACAATAATGCTGATTTATGATTTTTAGTTGATAATTAAGATATGAAATGTTTGAGGGTGATAGTAAGTGGTAAATTAAAACTTTTTTGTTCTGAAGTAGATAATTGGTTGATAGTTAACATAAAGGATGATTATAATGATAATTAGTCGTAAATTAGGCCCATGATTTAGAAATACAATCCCCCTAAATTTAATTTCAAGATGGTGGAAAAAGAAAACATGTGAGAGATATTTCTCTCATAAAATTGAGAATTACAACGTGAATGGTGCGTATACTACCATGAAATTTGGTCAACATTATTATAAGGGTATGTACAATGTATGTTAAATCTTATTCATACTTCTGTCTGAAATGTTTATGAATTTAAAAATCTTTTTGAATCAGATCATATAATATTAATCCTAGAATGCAATTTAGGTACTAACATGGGTTACCTATATTTCACAAGTAATCCAAATGTGCTCTTCTAAATAATGATTGTTAGATCAAAGACATTTCAAAACATATTTTTGATTATATCTGTTACGTCCTTATTATGTAACATTATAGTCTAATGTTTGTGTTCTGATTTTAGTTGTTGATGGCAATAATGATGTTTTCACATGCTTTTCATGAATCTTAAAAATTTGCAAAATAGAATAGCTTTAAAAAAGAGGTGGAGAAACCCCAGGGTTCAAAGATGACATACGCTTATAATGTAAATCTGTTTTGAGATGACATCGTCGCTGATTGGTTTAGGGAGTCGATCTTTGATTGGTTTAAAACTAGGTCAATTTGAAAACTTTGAAAACCAAGATGGAGGGTACGTTTTCGACAAAAGGAGGTGTGCGAAGGAGGAAATCATATGTCATCAATTGAATCATAGGGTTTTCCCTCCTCTTGCTGTGAAATTTCAAAAGTTCAAGTTCAATGTTGTCTGTTCTGAAAGATCCTAATTTAGATGAATATTCCGTCACAAAATAGTTCAAGATGAAGCATAAATCTCCGAGTGAAGAGAAGCAAAAAAGAAGCGAGTCATTTTTGAGATGTCACAAATCTGACTTAAACCTAACTTTCAACTAATTATCAATAGTAAGTTAGGTGATAATTAGAGATTAACTTACATCAAACTTACAACTAACTTTCAACTAATTTACGTAAATAGCTCATTTGCATATTGATGTTAGTTAATCGTTAATTAAGTTGCAAATTAAGCGTTAATTAAGTTGATAATTAGCTCATTTGCATGTGAATTTTTACACCTAACTTTCAACTAATTATCAATAGTAAGTTAGGTGATAATTGGAGATGATTTTCCATAGGCTTTTTTCAATTGGGATCTGTTGAAGTTTTGCTATGTACTATATATTTTCTTTGTCTGGGAAATTTGACTATGTCTTCATTAATTTGGCGCTACTTAATTTGGCGATTTTGCCATTTTTGGCATATTGGCGGCTATTTAATTTGGCGGATATGCAAAAAAGTTAAACTTACGCGCTGTTTGCGAATTACCATGTAAATGAGCATGTTTGGCTATGGCTATGTTCATTTTTCTTTTGAGGACCACTGGCGATATTCATCATGTTTCTGAGATCATCCTTTACATTTTGCACCTCGATCGATGCTGCTACTATTAATAGTATTAATGAGTGACTGACCAGTTCTGAGCCAATTTATGAGAGACATTTTTTCATATTTTTGGAAAAAAATAAACCGGAAGTGACCTAAAAACACTGGACGAAATGCCCTAGATAATTCCCGGGGATTCATTCTAAGTTTTGGCGAAGATTTATATTCATTGGCGAATTTTTCAATTTCGCCAAATTCGCCAAATTAAAGCGGGCGTCAAATTAACCCAATCTACAGTATTTGAAAGAAGCAACTCTGCCTTTCCTATGGTTGCGTTTGCTAATAGATGTGACATTCCATAACTCACTTAACTGCCTTTCAATCCACATGGTAGTAGATTAACAGCAGTATTTACCTCTTCAACATCCTGTATATCAATAGAGGTAATTCTTCTTGCAGTTTTTAAGTTTAGTTGCATAAATTTGTTTATGTATTTAATTTGGTAACTTTCTCCTTTTTCATGCCATTTTGCAAGGTCAATTCCCAGGTGTTCAAAAGGTTCTGTCAGAGAGAAGTCACCTGTTCCGGAAATGGCCCATTTGACCATAAATTTATGATATTTTTCGATGACATTCAAAACATTTTGAGTATACTCTATATATGAGTACTTGCCACTCTTGGGTAACTCTGCTTTTAATCTAGAGTTAAAACCTTCAATACCATTAGTGTTGAATCCCGCTTCAGCTCGAGCTGATTTTATAATATGTTCAGCTAGTTTTCTCCTGCGGCTAGGAACCGGTTTATTATTTTTTCACAGTCTTGTTCACTGATTGGAATATTGAGAAGCTCTTCTTGTAAGAGTCCAAGTTTAACTTGAATGTCATCGTCATCAATGGAGTCTATAACACCATTCTTCTTGAAAGCTAAGGATAATACTGTTTTTCTATGCTCTGGGTTTAATAATGTTTTCTGTAGATAAAGTTTGAAATTTCTTCTAAAATGATTAACACAAAGAAGAACTTTTGAATATGGCTTCCACGGATTATAAATTGCACTTTCCTCGTCTACTATGGTCGTTAGTTTTATTTCAGCTATAACGACGAGGTGAGTGGCCGTCAGGGATCGTTGACGCAATTCTCGCCAGCTTGAGTCGACCTTGTAGTGCTTTTTGGTGGTGGTTACGGTGCTTATATGGCCAGCATTTGATGATAGAATCAGTTATTTGTTCTACTAAAATGTTCACGAGTCCCGTCCATCTTGACCATGTTGACCTGAGTGACCCAGATTAGATACGCATGCGCAATTATCAGAAGTTTTAGGGACTGATCATTTTTATGTAGGGAAAAGAAATAAGGTAAACAGCGGGTAAACAGCTAAATAGCGTGTCATTTGGAGTCCAATTTACGCAAGAACACGGGGGAACCCGGAATAAAACTATACGTAACCATGTATTAACTAGAAAAACGGGACTGAAATAAAAAATCAAAGGTCGAAGGGTTTTTTCATAATCCCGTTTCATAAAATCCATTGTAAAAAGTTTTTGACACCCAGTACTCGAAGGGGCGTAGGGGCGAAGGGTTTTTAATACATTCCATCTCATCTGCCTCAATTTTAAAGTTTTGGTATTTTTAATATGATTTCACTGTTTTTGTGGACTGGTACGATTAAGCCAAGCAAATGGCAGCTGACCTGTTCAAAGTACTTTTAGTACTAATTGTCGCAAATGACAATAAAACCTGATTCACAATGTTACCGATTTACGTATAAATCGGCGACATTGTTCAAAGCGGGATGGAAATGATAAGAACCACGTTTTAGATTCTATAGTTTACATGATTTGGTTTATATGGTCGGTGAAAAAACGTACATTTTATATTGTAAGATTCTTAATGTTAAGCATCAAAACTCTGCATCAAAATATTGTTTTTCAGAGATCTACCGCTGAACTACTGTTTTTTCAAAAGTATACCGCAAAAACTCCCGTTTTTTTCAAAAATCTCCCACAAAAACTAAAAGTCTCCCGCAAAACTCCCAATGTTTCAAAAATCTCACGCAAAAACTACAGTTTGTTCAAAAATCTACGGCAAAACTACAATTTTTTTTATAAAATTTACCGCAAAAATATATTTTTTAAAATACCTTCCCCAAAAACTACCGTTTTATTTCAAATCTACCGTAAAAACTCCCGTTCTTTCTAAATCTGCCCAAAAACTCCCGATTTTCAAATCTTCCGTAAAAACTACAATTTTTTCAAAAATTTCCCGCAAAAACTACCACATTTTTTAAAAAACTCCCTCAAAACTACCGAATTTTGGAACTCCCGTAAAAGTACAGCAATTTTTTTTAAATCTCCCGCCAACACTTGCTGGGGATCCCACAATTGGATTCTTAAACAGGATATTAAGCTTAACAAAGATCTTTTTGAAATTTTGGGTTAGTACGATCTTATATGATATGTACTTACTCGTAATTAACAATAATATGTTATCTGGCCCTGTACTGCACCTTGCTTTATAAGTAATGATGATTAATCCAGGCCAAATGAGTCTAAAGATTACATAATATTAAATATCTGTACACATTCGTCATTAGACATCATGAACGTGCATACGTGTTCTATATTATTGTACTGGGCTGTTGTAATTGTGAAAGGCGATTATTGTGATTGCAAACTAAGTGTCGGTCGGCAACAGTCGTCTCACAATTATTTGCCTGAGAGACTGGATTCTCAAGAGAAGTTATTGGACAGGTACGTATGGACCTTTGATCGGCTAATGCCTGGATCACATTTGGTCCCGGTCGATTGAGTATTCTGGTCAAAACTGTATGTAATTTTAAACAAAATACAGAATCTGCCGGGCGCCGGCCGATAATTCGGAGCAAATGTGACCCAGGCATAAGGGAGAGAGAGAGGGGGGGGGGGGTGATTTTCGATCTGCTCACAATTTAACATCAGGTAATAATAACTATATTGACATTGGCAAGGGGGGGGGTACAATTTAACCAAATAGCTATCGTAAACCGGGAAACTTTCGGGATAACTTTAAATCATCGTTGTACAGAATCAAAGAACAGTCATATCAGAACAGAACATATCATGACTTAAAGATCTATACGGCTCCTTGACGTTCTCCTGCTCATTGTTACGTTCCCTCCAAAAGATTAGCAACCAAAAATCTCCATCAGGGTCTTTTTTCACAGCCTGCATGTGCATATGTTTTTGGGATTGAAAAAAATCTTCAAAGTCACAAATTTCTGAAATAGTGGAATTTAGGAAAAATATTGATAGTAAATGGCGACAGGCTTTGACATGTTATGCAATAAAAATTAAAACTGTATGTTGCCAAATCATGGATGGAAAGCAAAATCATGACTGTATATTGTAGTTTAGAGAAACGCCATCAACGACTACAAGATGAGAATGCGTTAAAACTGCAGAGGTTAGGTTCGTCTAAATCTACTGCAGAGGGTCTTACGGAGACTGTTTATTATAAACTATGTGAGTACATGTAGAGTGTAAATTAAAAAATGGGGTTTACTTGTGATTTTGCCACTTTTAGTACTTATTGTAGCAATGGTAATTAAATGACTTGAATATGGTATACTAATTTGAATTGCTCTTTTTTGATATCATAAACGCTGCATTATATGTTACAGGTAAATACATGAATGCTGGACTACTTGAAGTTATAAATCCACGTGAATATAAATATTCCTAATATTGAAAAATAAAAAATAGATCATTATAAGAACCTTTGATCACCCCTCGTATAAAGTAATATAGGTCAGGCTCTTAAGTTTATCGGATAGGAGATAATCTTCAGACACATCTTGATACTTAGTATATTATAACCAAAGTTTATTTTGTAGTTAATGTTTATTCCAGTGGGACTTGTTAAACTAGGTGTATTTAAAGACTATTTAATATACATGTAATATGTATATTCCTCCCCTAGGATCTTCTAGGCACTTATTTAGGAAAATATTATACTAAATTCAATTCCAAAGAGTTGATACTTCTATTTTGTACTAATCGAGTAATTTAGGTTTGTATTAATTTGATTCTAGTTTTTTAATAATTCAGTACAATATATTGTACAACATGCAGGAATAATGAGCTCAGATTTCTACGCAAGTCGACAACTTTAATTTTATTTAATCGATCATTTTGAAAAAATGTGAAGTTCGACAAGTGTTCGGCAGTGTATATCATTAACACACATGGGATGTAAATGTCTGTTTAAATCCTGTAATATATTTCCAAAGATTGTGTACACACATGCAGATTTTAATGACTGAGGAAGAACGGCTAATCCGTATTTCATTTTCACTGAACTATACTGTAGCAAAAGGTATCCCGGGTTAACAACACTAATACATATAGGGTGCATATAGTATGTTATTGTCACACAGTGGACAACCAAAAACCGTTTGCTCCCAAAGAACAAACAAGTGAATAGGACTTTAAGAAGGGAGGAAAGAGTTTGACAGAATAGAAAAACATGCCGCAAAAATGTTTATGATACGTTGTTGATAGAGAATGTGAAGAAAATTGGCGTCATATGGACGAAAAAGAATTTTCATCTGAGATTGAATATGCAAAAGACAGATGATCGCAGTTATTGCAAACGAAAGCGGGCCATTTTTAAGATTCTTCTGCTGGAGAAAAAAAACTACTCTAGCTCAGGAGACAAAATCAGTTAAAGACTCAATCGGTTTATGGAGATAACATTTGCACACCATCTATACTACTGAGATGATTGCGGTGAATTGGACTCATTTTCGAGTGAAACTCGGAAGGACGTCATGTTAAAATGTCCGGAACATGATTTTTGACTCATTTTATCGATTTTGCTCCCATGGACAAATATCGTTAGGGAAATATCTATACTTTGGTCTGCGTATTAAGGACATGATGTCTTTTGAGGGTGTAACATTTTAGAAGCTGATATTGGAGCGTTTTAGAGTCAACATATTTAGAGGTTATGTCACTATGACGTGAAATATGCCTGAGTTCTCCCAATATAGGAGAAAGGGTCGATGGCAAACACTGACAGGACCCGGGTTTCTATAACACGTGCTAGAAACACGTACTAAAATAGTCTCGCAACCAGTGCTATTTACTGAACGAAACGACACGAAAACCCCGGGACAGCGTCCTATCAGAGTATTTATGGATAGGACCCCCGTATGACCATGCTATCAGTTTGAATCTATCATTAACAAACTTATGTAACAGGCCCGTAGCCAGGACCCTCTACCATTGCCAAAAATGCTTTCAAAACCATGCAGTTTTCATCATTCTGAGCACTTTTTCAAATGGTTTTGGTCATTTTTGGGCCATTTCAAAAGTGAATCCCTTGGATTTTTTTTAAATCGACCCCCCCCCCCCCGTCAAATACCGGCTACATCCCAGATTTAAACTTAAAACAATAAAATGCTGTATAAAACCCAGGGGATATATCATCCTCCGACTCATTTCTCCTGCATCCCTTGACCCGTACTTAAATAGTCTCGAAACCAGTGCTATTTTAACTTTTGCCGGTAGAGGCGCCATAAACTGAACGAAATGCAAAACACTCTAAACCCGGGATGTAGCATCCTTTGGTATTCATGAATTGGATTAATTGCCCGACCTTTTACCTTTCTGTCAATTTGAATTCATGCCGATAAAGGCTCTCAAAATAGAATAAAATTTGTTCTCGAAATTCAAAGATGAATTGGCTATTGCAATTAGGAGTTGGAGTCCTTATGTGTTCAAGTTTACGTTTTCAAAGGTATTTGGGATTGCAGATGTAGATGAGGTTTTAATTAATGTTATAATTTCTGATAATAGCTGGCCTTGAACTTCATTGAAGTATTTGGAGTTGATGCTGTATTCAAGTCTGGATCAAATAAACTAATAAAGAAAGTTTGATGTACTGATTTATTTATTTCTATTGCAAATAACTATTTACACATGCTATTTCAAGGTCAACCCATGTGACTATTCATTTTATCAAGCGATTTATAAAGTTTTATAATTATGCATATACCTGTTGACTCACTTCAATCCTGAACATTAACAAATTTTATCTCCATTTCTGGATGTGGCTAATTCCTATTGTCCCTACTGTGGACTAGTGACAATATATATTTTGCAAAAGCCAAAAATGTATGCATTCAGTATTGAAACATCAAGTACATTGTACATCGATCACAAATAAAGACACATTTACATATATTCCAATAAATTCAAATACTGTAAAACCTGTAAATAGTGAACACCTATTGAGCCACAAAAAGTGTTCACGATAGGTATTTTCTAACTAGAGGGGATTATATACAGGAGTCGATGTGAAATCTATCTAAAGTGGTGTGCACTAAAACAGGTTTTACTGTAGTATATGAGATATAATAAAAAATGTAATACATATACCTGTAAATCATATTATATCTAATGAGCGCACAATTCCAATGAGTGCAAATGTGACTTTCTTATTGAATTTTGTCTCAATATTAACACATTGATTTTGATTAACAGAACTGATTGATATATTATAGTGAGTGATGATTTTCAACATGTTTAATGCAGATAAAAATAGTAGCTGTAGAGTATGAAAACCTAAGTGATCACAGCTAAAAGCATCATCGTCGATATTTTTCTCAATATCATACCCTTGAGTTGGCAATAACACCACAGAAAATGCACCGATTCAGGTATGTCCACATAAACTAAAATGCCTACATAATGAATACTGCAATTACTGGTTAAATTTGACAAGAAAAAACTATTTCCACAACCCCATGATTAAATGTCAATGAAAGCCCTCAAAAACTAAAAAATACAAAACACCAGAACCGCTTAATGCTTCTTCAATTTTTGAATTTTTAGAAGAAATCCAATGTTTACCAACAACAGACGCCTTGTTATTCTCAGAGGCTCACTGTGCAAGAACCATTAATTGAATATCTTAAAGATCTTCCAAATGTAATGAGCTAACCAATCTCCAATTTTTATGTATGATAAATCCTGTATTGAAATAACAGTATTCATATTTATTCGCCAAGTAGAAATCTTATACTCTCCACCATTTTTATTGGGGCACCAAAATTCATCCATTTAAGATTTCCCTTATTAAATGACTATATGTACTTTACAAAGTTATTGCAAATGAATATCTTTACATGAAGTTAACAAGGCATTTCTACAAAAGATTGTTTGCACACATTCAGTGTAACCTTGTAACAAACACCGATTTCCATCTAAATAACACTCTGACAGAGACTATAAAAATGTATTAGCTATCAAGAGTGATATTTTTCACCAAATATATGTTTTCGTAAGTACTATAAATTCAAATACTTCTGATCAATTTACTCAATAAATTCTACTAACCACTATTTCATCAATATTTCGATAGCTTGCGCACAACCAAAGCAGCAAGACAAAAGTATTTTCCTGTCTACTACCAGGCCATTGTCCCAATGAACATTAAGATGATTTTGAAAAGGTGTACTTTTTGTAACACATAACAAACATGTAGAGAGCTTCTTCATCTGTAAACACAAAGCTTCAAAATCATCCCTGTCATACAGTTTTGTTATTATACCTCCAACATCAAGCGATAGTTCTTCTGTTATCATGAACTGACAACCCCCGAGAGCCTCTTGCTGATGTTCTGACTCATGTTGTTGTAGAACCTGATGGTGTTCTGACTCCTGTTGTTGTAGAATCTGGGAATATTCTGACGCATGTTGTTGTAGAACCTGGGGATGCATTGCTCTGACTCATGTTGTAGAACCTGATGATGTTCTGACTCAGGTTGTTGTAGAACCTGATGATGTTCTGACGCATGTTGTTGTCGAACCTGGGGATGCATTGCTCTGACTCATGTTGTAGAACCTGGGGATGTTCTGACTCATGTTGTAACCTGGGGATGTTCTGACTCATGTTGTTGTAGAACCTGATGATGTTCTGACTCATGTTGTTGTAGAACCTGATGATGTTTTGACTCCTGTTGTTGTAGACACTGATGATGTTCTGACTCATGTTGTTGTAAAACCTGATGATGTTCTGACTCATGTTGTTGTAGAACCTGATGATGTTCTGACTCATGTTGTTGTAGAACCTGATGGTGTTCTGACTCCTGTTGTTGTAGAATCTGGGAATATTCTGACGCATGTTGTTGTAGAACCTGGGGATGCATTGCTCTGACTCATGTTGTAGAACCTGATGATGTTCTGACTCAGGTTGTTGTAGAACCTGATGATGTTCTGACGCATGTTGTTGTAGAACCTGGGGATGCATTGCTCTGACTCATTTGTAGAACCTGGGGATGTTCTGACTCATGTTGTAACCTGGGGATGTTCTGACTCATGTTGTTGTAGAACCTGGTGATGGATATTCTGACTCATGTTGTTGTAGAACCTGATGATGTTCTGACTCATGTTGTTGTAGAACCTGGTGATGGATATTCTGACTCATGTTGTTGTAAAACCTGATGATGTTCTGACTCA